CACACACCCTCTCACACAAACACACGCACGCGCACGCACGCACACATACACACACACACACACACCCTCTCACACAAACACACGCACGCGCACGCACGCACACATACACACACACACACACACCCTCTCACACAAACACACGCACGCGCACGCACGTAGACCTACACACACACACACACACACACACACACACACACACACACACACACACACACACACACTCACGTCTGCTAGTTTAGAATTATCGTATTGCTTTTCCCGCGCAGTTTTTCGGACGATTTATTATAAGTGCTTGCAAAGTCTACCATTACGCCACATCACGCGTTACCATCACGCGTTACCATGTCTACGTGAGTAGAGCTTGGCCATATGCGTAGAAAATAAAATGGCTGGTAAGAACCGCAGCCTGAGTGTTCATCTTCTTCCTCGTCTCTGCGGGCGCACATCACAACTAGGGGGGGCTTTTTCAGCGCGCTCAGACGGAAACGTATGAATAACGAAAAGAGAATGTTATTCACCGTGTTAGAGCTGCCGTTGACGTTGGTGCAGTAGACAGTTAGATAATCACAGCATTTTCGTTATATCCCTTGTCACCCTACAATGTTCACATACAGAGTCTATATTTCGTTCGAATACGCCGTTGTCCAATCTACACCGCGTGTCTGCGATGTTTCGATCGCCACCATCGCCAAATTTTCACCGCGTCTACACTTTTTTTTATGACACTCTTGTCTAATTTACCGCACCGTGTCTACATTTTGTCATGTTACATGTCTAAAATGGTTGTAAAACGCGACCGAGCAGCGATATGACGTTAGAAGATACTCTACGCGTAGAACCCTAGAACTAGAACAAGAACCGTAGAACTCTACGCGGAGAACTTTAACGCGTCATTCATGGGACTCTACCAGACCTCCTTCACTGCAATGTTTGTGAGATGCGGTCGAGGGGAAGCGTTGTAGAGAATTCCCGGGGCCCGTTGCCAGGAAGAAATTTAGTCTTAACATTAATCTTTTCTTCTGGACCATTAGCAGATTTCGTAAAGCTATGAAGAAATTTGCTATGATTTTTCATTCTCGTAACTTTACGATGTTTCTGTCAGCAGTCTAAAAGAAAAAAAATGATGATGAGACTTTTAATGACAATTTATCTTTTTATCTTTACATGATAATTCTTTCATGACAACGCGCCCGCGAGCCTCGCCCGCGCCTCTTCGCGGACTCTAGTAGGTACTACGACCCCGTGTTTTACGCTTGCAGGCGGATAGCTGACAACGCTCTGGAGTGCGACTGTCATCTCGCCTGGCTGGCAAAGTGGTTGCGCATCAACCCGCGACTCGCTCTCTTCACTAAGTGCGCCTCCCCGCGGCACCTGAGAAACGTGGAAGTGGCCGCTCTGAAGGAGTCCGACTTCAAGTGTAACGGTGAGCGACGTCAGTTGTCATAGAGATATCACACGCAGACGAACCTCTATATAACGACCACTCGAGGGGGAACGTCAATAGTGGCATTTATGGGCAGTTGGCTGTTCTATGGAGGTGATTTCCCTCTATAGCAGCCACTCGAGGGAAACGACAAAAGTGGCCTTTATGGACAGGGGGCCGTTCTGTAGAGGTAGCTGGTAACACAAGCTTTATTGTGTGCATATCAAGCGAGGGGATGTATACATGGTACCGTTATGTTGTCGCTGCAGCACGTAGTTTATTGTAAATTGATTTCCACCGAATATAAAAGGATATTGGTAACCTAACCCGACTGATTTCTGTGGGAATTTAGTTCATTCGTGGTGCCGATCAATTGAAAGGTAAAGAATATAAGATATCTATCTTGTCGCTGTTATTCGCTGTTCCCCTCTCTCTCTTTCTGTGTCTCTAGATCTCTCACTCTCTGGAATATGGATAAGCCTATGTTGGTGTCCGACACACGGGCTATACACTGATATCGGTGGCGTGGGCTTGATGCTCACCGCCGCGAAGATTACCGCGTCAGAAAACCGGCCTCTCCTCTCTTAAGTCGCTGGCGAATGAAACCTTTACACCTCTGCGACGTCTACAGACGATGTGAGTCTATGTTGACATGTCATGTATCTTCATGTTATTATATATATATATATGTATAATATATAATCGTCCTTCTGTGTGTTCACAGGCGTTGAGGAGCTTCGTAACATGGACTGTATGCTAGAGGTGATGTGTCCCGCTAAATGCATGTGCGCCGAGGGCATCGTCGACTGCCGTGACCGCGGCCTCACTGCCATCCCCGATAATATCCCCGAGGAAACGATGGAAGTGTGAGTGCACGCGTGTGAGACATCGGCGGAGGGATGGCTGGGCGTGGGGAGAAGGAGGTGATCGATAATGGCGTCATCTATCGGACGTTATTGACAACTGTCGACGTAATGGCGGAGTTTTAACTGCAGAAATATTGAACGACGTTCGTGTGTAGCTTAATTGTTCATTATTTTGTGTCTATTTCGTTCACGTTCTCTTGCTTGGCCGCGACTACTTTCCCTCTGACTATCTCTCCCGCACTCTCCCCCTGTCTCTTGGCTCTCTCGGTACTTCTCTCTCCCGGACGCTCTCTCTCTTCCTCTTCCCGCCTCTTGTCCTTGCCAGTCTGTCTTGGTTATCTTTCTCTCTCACACACGCTAGCATGCACGCACGCGTGCATGCACGCGCCAACCCATTTGCAATCACTCTCTGATCTAGTGTCTGTATGGTCGTTTCTCAGAATACATTGCACCACGGGGAATAAGCGGGGGTACGGCAGTTTGTAGACCGTGATTCATGGCGTAACGTTTACTGCAGTGACTAAAGCCAATTAGCCACTAAACACGTGCTGCTGAAAGCGAGAAGTACCACACACACGTGCGCACACACACATGCTGGCATGCGCACCGCGCAGGCAGGCAGTCAGACAGGCAGGCAGGCAGGAAAGCGGGAAGAGTGGAAGGCAGGCAAGCAGGCGACCAGACAGACAGGCAGGCAGGCAGGCAGGCAGGCAGGCAGGAACGCAGGCAGGCAGGCAGGCAGGCAGGCAGGCAGGCGGGCGGGCTGGCGGTTGGGCGGACGGGCGGGCAGGCAGGCAGGCAGGGCAGGGAAAGGGCAGGAGACAGGAGGCAGGCAGGCCAGGCAGCGCAGGCAGGCAGGTAGGCAGGCAGGCAGGCAGCAGGAGGGCGGGGCGGGCAGGCCAAGGGCGCAAGGAGGCAGGCCGTGCTAGTACGCACGCATGCACGCACGGAAACACGCACGCACGATGCACCAACGCACACACGTCCCGCACGCACATATGCATACTGATAATATATATATATATATATATATATATATATATAATATAATATAATATATATATATCTCTCTCTCTACACATATATATATAGCACTCGAGTTTGGCTATAGCGTATCTGAATTGTAGAAGAAACAGATTTTTGGCTATCGGCAAGAAATCTCCTGACGTTATTCTTCTTGCATCAAACCTGTCAGGGAACGTCACCATCGTAGCTGCTCCATCAATTATCTCTCTCCGAACTTTCGCTTGTTTTTCCGAAACGATTTATATTTGGCCACGTCTGCAATTATTCGTGGAGTGTTTTAACCTTTAGAAAAACGGCGTACGAGTATTTTTGCCGTACGAACGCCGTTGCAATATCGAAATTAGCTTACCTCGCAGTATTACTAAATACGCAAATGCCATTTTCCATAAACGCTAGACGATATATGATTCAATTATTATCTAAAGCTATCGTGGTGAATCATAGGGGACTTCATGATGGATTGAACAGAAGCGTGCCCTTATAATTATGCCCTTATAATTATGCCCTTATATTGTATATTATATTATATGCACGCACAAAGGCACCCACGCGCAACGGCACACACGCACTAACGCAGACGCACGCGCACGCGTACACGCACATTCCGGCACAGACGTACGCACGCACACAAGCAACAAAAAATTTATAATAAAATATGATGGTTTAAGTGAAATTTTAGCGCGGGTAGATCAGCAATCATCATTGCTGTTTGTTTCCATTCATTAGGCGGCTCGAACAAAACATGATTACATCGATTCCCCCGAAGTCGTTCGCCGAATTCAAGAGGTTGCGTCGAATGTAAGTATCGAATGCATAAGATTGTCATTAATATAAGCTATTGATGTCTAGAATAAAGCCAGTAATACGAGTCTAGTGTAAAATATCGTCGCAGTTGTACCGGTATGTCGCAATTGTCACATGTGTCACAATTGTCATTTTGTTATGTATTATGAATGTAAATGTTTGTGCGGGTGTCCTCGCTAAATGCGAGAATTTCAAGGAATGATTTGTACAATAAAATATTTTATCCGGGCCTGGTAAATGGATAGAACGCTAACACTCGACCTTTTCCGCGCACAGCGAAAGCTCTGAACATCTTCTTTCTTTGTTATTTTCACAGCGACCTAAGCAACAATCAGATAACAGGTTTGGCTCCGGACGCATTTTTTGGACTGAAAAACCTTAACTCGCTGTGAGTATGTGTATAAAGGGTTTAAAGCTTTAGCATGATGTGCATCCTTGTTTGTTTTCAGACATGTCTTTGTCAACATCAGCTCGAAATAAGTGTTCGAAATGCGAGGATTTTGCGCTTTTCCCCCGAAGATTCCGCTTCGGATTCTAAGATTAATCCTATCTATTTTCGTTTAAATTTCTCAGTTGTGGCAACGGCTTAAAAACATTGACAGGCAATATGGCAATTAGCTTTTATATGCTTTCGAATAACAATAAACTAATTTGTCTAAAACAACATGTGGCGCGCAAGAAAGATAGCTAAACGAAACAAGCGTCAGTTTTTCAACAGCTCATCTTGGCTTCCTTTAGCATATGTGCTGAAATACATCCAATACGGAGCATATACACACGTAGACAAAAAACATTCCACATTTGTCATCTTTTACGATGTATTCAGAAAATAGATATAGTGTGGACTAGCTATGACGGAATATGTGTGTCTTGCCGAGAGAGGACATTAATTCATGCTAGTTGTATTTCCAGTTCCTCGACTGTATGATTAGATTTTAGAACATAACAACCTGAAGGTTTCTGAGCTGCATACCAGATTAAATGTTTTCATTAATACTTCATACATGTACCATATACGTCCAACAAGACGCACTTCCGTTTTACAATTGATATCAAAAGGGCAACGATTCTATTAATGTTCTTTCTTTCAATTTAAATTCATCGAAGCCGCACCACGCATCTGCAGTTGCTATTCGAGATCACTGACCCATTCCTAACTATAGTTGTGACGAACACAGGCATGGCTACATGCAGGGCAAACCGTCCAACCCACATGTTAATTAACTCACTTCTATGCCCCACCGAGAGCATGTATCCGGCACGACCGTGGCATGTTTACAAACCGCAATCTTCTATTTTCAACAGCGTCCTCTACGGGAATAAGATAACAGAGCTTCCGCAGGGCGTGTTTGACGGACTCACGTCGCTACAACTACTGTAAGTCAGAGCTGCACAGCGTAAAACCACCGATATAGTACTGTGTAATTATAACAATTCCATATCGTGCTCTCTCTACACACGATCTCTTCAACTTCGTCATTGCAGCTACGACATATATATATATATATATATATATATATATATATATAATATAATATAATATATATATATCTCTCTCTCTACACATATATATATAGCACTCGAGTTTG